CGGCCCTTGCGCTTGGTTAATAAGATATACGTATACACTGAAGTGGAGTTGGTAGTGGTGGACATTCATGGAACTACATGGCCACCAACACTGAGGTGAACAGTTATATTAATGACACATGTGAGATAACACAGCACGTGCGAAAAGATGATTTTAACTCACTTTTTCTTTTTTAGGTGCAAATCTCACTTGCAACAATACTTGGGTGTGAATAGCAAAGAATAATTGGAGTTTGAAAAACCAAAATGTGCCTTTATAATGCTATCCCCCATTTAAGTATAAACTAAACTGATGTTATTCACTGAAAATTCACTCCCTAATTTAGTAAAATATCAAGCTTCTTTGCTCTAAATTCAGTTTTTGCAGATATGTCTTTTTTTTTATATACATGTATATGGGTATTCTTTTGATTTCAGGCAGAGTTAATCACTCTCCTTTTAAAATCACGAAGTTTCCCACCTGGAAGGGGAGGCCAGGAATTGAAATTGGGTATATATTCCCAATTCTAATGTAAACTGCATGCACAAGCAAGCTAGCCTTTCACAGCTAGGTTGCAGTGATATATATATTTTATGAACACATTTTTTTCCCTCTATTAGAGGATATTTTGTTTCAGTGCATTTACCACCTCTTCTAGTGTCACATTTTTGTAAAAGATTTTTCACAGTTGACACCTTTCTGAGACTAGCCTGCTGACCTTTTTTTGCTACCACCTGAATTTTAAGAAAAAACTTTCAAGTCCAATGCAGTGATTCTCAAACCCTAAAATACAAGTAACTGAATGATATTGATTGATCTCTGTACAATCATGTATTGTACTCTTTAAAACTTATCAGAGGCCCTTCATAAGTGTATTGTAAGCAAATTAAATTTTGAATCCTTTTCTTTTTTTTTTTTGTTTGGCTAATTTTTAGCTGTTGAAACAAATTTGTTGTTGTGTTTGTTTTAACATAATAATACACTCACATTCTTGACAGGTGTCATGCTTTTTGGGAATACATCCTTCAGCATTCTTGGAATTATAGCAACCAGACAAAGGAAAATTTTTCCCACGACATCTTACTTATTATTGATAAGATATGCTCCAGTAGTCAGAGAGGAATGTTACCGACTGTTCAGGGAATCGTTCAAGAATTTTCAAAGACTACCTTCTTCAAATATGTCCTTCCTGAAATAGTTGAGAATATAGCCAAAAAAAGTTGTGGCAGGTAACATTGAGGGTATTTAAAAAGTGCTATGCAGTATTTTTCTTCTACCAGTAGATTAAAGAAAATGGTGTATCAACAATTTTAAACATATTTTAATGGTATTTTATCTTTAGTTACAAAATAGTGTTTGAGGTCAGCTGATAACAATTTAACTTAGTTTACAAAAATTATGACCTAGTGTCATTTAAATTTTTTCTGGTCAATAGAAAACATGAACTGGGTTTGAAAATTAAAGGACACCATCTTATGGACTGGTATAAAACAGGAATATAGCTATGGTGCCATAATAAAATGCAGAAAACAAACTACAAACTTTCATAGTTTCCTCTTTATTTATTAGGTACATTTGCTAGTAGTTTGTGGTGTGCATCATTATAAGTCTGAATTCCACACCCTGGTCCATGCCTTTTTTTACTGTAGTTGCTAGTGTTTTAAACCCAATCTCTAGTCAGTGTTTTAATCCATTTTTGACAAACCCGAACATTTGAAAATGAGTTACCAGAGGTAACAAAATGCAAAGTCACGAATGCTTCTGCAGAAAATGGTTTGTAACTAACAAGTATTATTAAAAACTGGATCATTGGGTAATACAATTGAAAACTTTTTATTGGCTTAGCCATTATGGTATATGAGTCAATATACCATAATCTAATATCTGTACATTGTAACATCCGATTTCTTCTTACAAAATAAAGTTGAGAAGATATGTCTAATATCTTGGGGGCATTTTTTTTAATAAAACAATTATTCCACTTGTGATTGTTGGATATGGGATGATTATAGCCAACGAGGCGCCTCATTGGCTATCTATTATCTCATATCCAACGCGCGCTCATGGAATAATTGTTAATTAGGTGATTGTATATTCTCAGAAACTAATGCTTCCTACATCTGTAGCAAGGCAATTTGTGAAAATCAATCGTGTTAGGATCCTTAGCCAATACAATTATTTGTACCTGTATTCTGTCGAGCAAAACATATTTCAAGATGATACAACAACAATTTATTTGTTACTAACTAGCTAAAAGACTGTGTCATTTTGTGTCAAATATTAAAGTTTTAAGTGTCAATAACAACAAACCATGGTAGTGATTTTGTTTTCTCGAATACTTAAATTACCAGTGAATCCTTTAAAGTGGTGCAGAATGTTCTAGAACATGTCCTAAATGTTTCACCTTCCTCTGGTCGAAGAGTTCTACCAATGGCAAACGTTCTCGCAGCAAGTTTAGTGAGCAGCTCCAGTGGGCAATGTGCTGTGGATTACCTGGCGAAGCTATCACTCATGGTTGCCATTGCAGTGCCAGGAGTGCATGCAGATCTTGAGGCTTTGTCGTGGAGAGAACTTCCATTGCTGCCGCTGAGTGAAGAAATCCATAAAGATTCAAGAGGTAAGTGCACAGTTTATGTAGATATTTTTTTCTTTAAACTAGACCTGCCAACTCTTTGCTAGGCTTGTGCAACTGCCACTCAAGCTGAATCACAAGGAAATCTTAGAAATAGAGAGAGAGGTTTTTTTGTCCAGTGACAAGCGTGGAACAAAGGAAAAATTCTGAGTCCCAATGAGGAATTGAGCCTCAGACCTTCAGATTCTGTGGTCTGATCCTCTACCACTAAGCCACAGATACTCTATGGTGAGCAAGGCCCATTTTGAAGTTCACATAATATGACACGTGTCCTGCATACTGCTAGCATTGGTAATGTTGATAGCATCCTGTTTTTACCATGCTCAAAACTTACCAACTTTCTTATTCTTTACAAGGACATCTTAGTTTGTAGCTGGGTAGAGCAAGCACACATGAATCAGACATATCCTATTTTCTGTGGTTTCAACTTTAAGCTATCTTTTGCTCATTTATATACCAGTGGAAAAGTTAAACATAAATCCAGATTTTTTAATCTCCAAAATTGTACGTCCTCTATATAATGGCCATGGCAATCACAGTTATGATGGATGGTGCATTTAATCAGCAATTACATGATAACCTTTTTGCTTTTTCTTGATTTGTCTATGGATTGAAGAAACTAGAACAGCTGACTTACCAGTGATCAAGAAAGAAGGGAAGTACCACTCAGAAAAAGAATACCTGAACACTTACTTCAGACTTCTAAGAGCAGAATGTTTTCACAAGTTGAGGGATGGAGTTTCCAAGTTTCTGAGCAAAGGAAAATGTGATTCCAGGGATGTGATGATTTATAGGTGGGAATAAGTTTTCTCCTTTGATTTACAAATTTATGAGCATGTGTTAAGTACAACATGAACATGAACAATAGACTAACCTCACTCTGTACAATCCCATGAATAGCTGTTTTATTAATTGTAATTTAACATACCGATCTGGAAATCCGTGGACTGTTTTTTGTTGAAAAATTAGTTTGGAATGACCAGTAGTTCCACTGCTTCTCCTTCATCCTCATTATCCTCCTTGTTATCCTTTTCAACTTCATCCTCATTTTCATCCTCATCTTCATTCTGCTCTCTATCCTCACCCCTATCCTCATTCCCATTCTCATATCCATCATCATCCTACTCCTCCCACTCATCTTTCTCCTCACCTTCATCTCCATCTCCCTCTACCCTCTCCATGTCATCTTCCTCTTCCTCTTTCTTTTTATCCTTCTTGTCATCATCATCCTCCTCTTCCCTCTCATCCACCTTATCATCCTTAACCTCACCCTCATCCTCATCCTGCTCCTCACCCTCACTCTCATAATCATCCTCCTCTTCCTCATCATCTTTCTCCTCCTCACCCTCATAATTATTCTCACCCTCATCCTCCTTCTTTTCTTCCTCTTTCTCCTCCTCTTCCTCCTTCTCATTGTCCACCCTATCTTCATCCCCTCATCTTTATTCTCCTCCTCCTTCTCATCTTGCTCTTCACCCTCACCCTTTTCCTCCTGCTTATCATCATCTTCCTCTTCCTTGAGTTCATTTTTCATCTCTTCCTTATCCTCCTCTTGCTCGTCCTTCTCCTCATCCTCGGCCTCACCTATATTCATCTCGTCTTTTTCCTCCTTATCTCTAACCCTAACAAATCCTCATCCTCTTCCCCTTCTTCCCCCTCCTAATGCTCAGCTTCCTCCTCCTCCTCCTCCTCCTCCTCATCATCATCCTCCTCCTCATCCTCCTATTCCTCCTCATCCTCCCATTCCTTCTCATCCTTCTCCTCCTCATCCTCATCTTCATCCTCTTCTTCATCCTTCTCCTCCTTCTCACCCTCTCCCTGCTCATCCTCCTCCTCATCCTCCATGTCATCCTCCTCATCATCCTCATCATACTCATCATCCTCCTCCTCATCCTCCTCCTCATCCTCCTCCCCCTCCTCATCCTCCTCCCCCTCCTCATCCTCCTCCTCATCTTCATCCTCCTCCTCCTCATCCTCCTTGTCATCCTCCTCATCATCCTCATTATCCTCCTCCTCATTCTCCTCATCCTCCTCATCATCCTCATCATCCTCATCATCCTCCTCTTTCTCCTCATCCTCCTCTTCCTCCTTATCCTCCTTGTCCTCCTCCTTCTCCTCTTCCTCCTCCTCCTCATCCTCCTCCTCATCCTCCTCCTCATCCTTCTCCTCCTCCTCCTCCTCCTCATCCTCCAATATCTTATAACTATGTTATACCTTGCTAGTAAAGAAATAATGATTGTTATTATTTTTAGGATTACTCTGAAAGGACTACATACTCTATGCCGAGAAAACTGTCCAACCCCCATGTCAATTGGATTGCAATTTACAGTTGATTCAGAGGAAAGGATTGACTGGGGGTAAGCAATTTGTTAATTTTTAATCTTTGTTTACATAGGATGTCAGTTATAAGATGATGATAATGCTTATGATACTAGACAGTACATTTGAAGTAAACTGATGATTATGAAATAAATAGTTGAAGTATTGACATCTGATTGTTGTCAAACATATTTGGTTCATACTTAATTACACCACAACACGATTGGCTGAACTATTTAAATTAGCAGGTGTCTAGATATATTTGTATGTATAAATTTGAGGTGTGTTGTCTGTTACAGATCTACAAATTATCTAGTCTATGGAAATCTACTATGCATTTCTTGCGATGGCTCATTTGAACAGCCTGTTTGGGCTGTAGTGGAAAAGGTATATCATGAACAAAGGTTAGCTTTTTTTTGTGCTCCCAGAACTAACTTTTATGTTAAAGTTTCATGCATTAATTTTCAATTATACCTGCAGGCTGTAGTTTTGAGATGGTCAAAAATGCAATTGGGCAAAAATGATTTTTTTTCTCCCAATGCAAATAATTCGAGATTTGTTGAATTTTTTGCAGTACAATTTATTAAGTTATACTGCTTTTATGGGAGCAGTTTACAAAATGATTTGCATATCATGCAACCTTATTAAATGGGATGGTACCTTGATCTAAATTTTACTATTTCTCAAAAAAAGTCCAGCATTCTTTGGTTGATGTTCCAGGGTTGTTCCAAATATTTAAATCCAGAAATTAAAAGGGTGAAATCATACATCCTTACAATATGTCTAAAAATCAGAAGGACTTTTATTAATTTTCCTTCAACAAAGATGAGAGAAATGCAGAATAGCTTTAAGCAATAGCTGCTGTAACACAACTTTGAAGAAATGAAATAAAATGGATAGTTAATTATTGCTAATAATAATTAGCATAACAATTAAGTGCTCACATCATTGCAATAAGGTTGTCATCTTTTTGCTGCAAGTTTTATTCTGACTTTCACTTGCATAAGTTGACTGGAGTCAAATCAGAAATAAGAGAGAAAAAATTCTTTTAAAAGCTGTATTATTGACCACTTTCATAAATGGCTGCTGGATTAATATTCTTTTGTTTAAATTTAAATTAGCCTTTCTGGCCTCGCTTGAGATAATTAATGTATTCTTTTGAATTTTGTACTGGAGAACGAGGCCAGAAAGGATAATTTTAATTTAAAAAAAAGAATATCAATCTGGCAGCCATTTATGAAAGTGGTCTATTGTGGCTTTTATTCCATGCTCAGGAAATTTTACGATAAGAGCAATGAAAAGTGTTCCAACACAATGGAAACACATAGTACAATGATTCATTAAATAAAAGAGCATGGAAAAGAAGTCAATAATGGCTGGAAACAGAGGCTTTTTCAGAAAATGGGAAGTGTTTGAATGTTCATGTCGATTTTTCTTTAAACTTAGTGGTAAAGATGAAACAATCCCTTGCCTTTTTTTGTGGCTACTTCTGTTAAATTATAGAGTTATGTGGGTGACACTCTGTGGTGATAAAACAAATAACATATCAGAAGCAGAATTTGTAATCCAACTACAAGGAATTACAGATAATGGTGAGTGAATTAAAGATAAGAGTCAGAATTGCTGCCTTAATTGAATGCCTTGGGTTTAAAGCTCATTTCATTTTTTACTGACAACATTAATTTTATAATAGTGTGAGGTACAATTATGTTGTCTTGTTTACTGACTTTATAAACAATTCATCTCTGAAAAATTGACTAATGTTGTTACTTAATTGACACCTAGTCGTGGGAAGCACATGCCAACAAAAATTATACCATTCCATGCTTTTGAGCGGGTCGCAGCTTTGAATAGCTAACTTAGCAACCTTTATGACTGATGGACGTTTTCCTATAAATTCAAATCTCTACTTGCAAGGTAACATGAAGAGAGGTCAAATATTCCCTATTTTATTTTCGACAAAACTACTTATTATACAACACATGAATGCGTAATTTTTCAACCTTTCTGCAGTAAAATTACTCGCCATTCAGCCTCATGTTAAATATTGTGGCAACTACTTTTCAGGCTGTAATTACACAAGTTATATCGAACACGGAGTGGACTGCTTGTTGTTGATTTATGCAGTGCTTATGACCTACGCGTTTTTCAATACATCAACATGTGTAATATGATTTTCACTCTTTCCTTTTTCTTATTTGGATATCTTTAATAGGGAAAGAAGCTTACATGGCTGAAAGCCAGACATTTTACTTGTCTTTTGGTCCAGCTATGGATATTTTGCAACACAAAGGTACATTATCATAGCACTGTGTTATTACAGTTATCAATCACCACTAGCTAATGAAGTCTTATGATATCTTTAAGTCATCCAATAAGGTCCAACGTGATTGAGGAAATTAGCATTCTGCATCTTACTACAGATCATTAACTTGAAAATAATCAGAATTGTTTATGACAATTTGCTTAGTTCTGGTATGTATGTATGTATGTATGTATGTATGTATGTATGTGTGTATGTGTGTACGTGTGTACGTGTGTACGTGTGTACGTGTGTACGTGTGTACGTGTGTGTATGTGTGTATGTGTGTATGTGTGTATGTGTGTATGTGTGTATGTATGTATGTGTGT